TACTCAAACATGGAACGACGTGTTTTCGGTAACATTTCGGATTTTCTAGATCTAGAATCTAGATTCTAGATCTAGAGATCTATTAGGCCTACCTGGACATGATGGAAGACCGCACGAAAATTGCCGTAAAGACGCAGGAGGACTAGATAATATCTAGATTCTAGATCTAGATCTAGATATCTAAATTTAGATCTACCACCCCCCCCCCCCTCCTGCATTTTTAATCACTAATACATTTTAAAAAATAAACAACAACTTCAAAGTCAAAGCAACTCTACAAATTAGGCCTATAATTTATGGAACTGTTGGTCAGTCGGGAGGAGGAAAAGAGAAAAAAAAACTGTCCGGGACTGGAATCGAACCGCTCCAAAAGTCATTGCTCGACATCAAACGCAGACGCGCTATCAAATCAGCTATCAGAAATTCCGAGAAATTTGTGTAGATTAAGCATAATATACATAGACACTTCCATCTTTGGTGCCATGCGGTTGTCTATACTTAGATGTAGTCACGTGATCGGAGGGGTATCCTGGTCTGACGTCAAACAAGATGGGCGCCTTACCTAAAAATAGTTTGCATCATTTCTACTTTTAATCGCATGTTTATTATAGGGAGGGCCTATGATATGATGAAGTATGGTATGGCTATAATACCATAAATTCAGAATATAGAGTCTAGATCTAGATCTAGATCTAGATCTAGATCTCTAATTCTAATAAATCAGTTGACATGAATCGATGAGACAACAACATTAAAATTAACACGGTCCAAAGTAAGTGACTTACCAATCGCATCAAGTTCGTCTGCGTACTCTAGTTCAAAGGAGTCGTCCATAACTAGATCTAGATCTAGAGAGGGAGTAAATCGTAATATATGAATTGATAATAAGACAAATTGTTTCGTATTAACACTCTGGCTCTGACTTACAATAAACGATCATGATTCACAATTTAATAAGGCCTACACTGAGTGCTCAATCCAGTCCACAAGCCTAGCAGTCGTTATTCTGTTTACAATCCCGCCATCTTTCGCATTGAATGTCAGGTAAGCGGCAAGAATTTGGGTTTGTTTCAATTTTGCCAGGTTGTACTTGAACTTAACTCATCATTAGGCCAAGGCTCTGGCGCAGGCCTCTACAGTTGTTTATGGTGCATAATAATAATAATAATAATAATAATAATAATAATAATAATAATAATGATAATAATAATAATAATAATAATAATAATAATAATAATAATAATAATAATAATGTTCTAATTTGAGTTCTGACACGGACTGGATAATTATTATTGGAGTTATGATACTATCTTTGTTATAACTTAAAATTAGAGGTCTTGGCCTCGGCGACTCCAATATTAGGCCCCAATGATATCGTCAAAGTGTGCAAGTAGCCTACATTGTATGTATGTATGTATGTATGTATGTATGTATGTATGTATGTATGTATGTATGTATGTATGTATGTATGTATGTATGTATGTATGTATGCGTGCGCGCGTGTGTGTGTGTGTGTGTGTGTGTGTGTGTGTGTGTGTGTGTGTATGTATGTATGTATGTATGTATATGTATATGTATGTATGTATGTATATAGATCTATGTATATATGTATGTGCAGTGGCGGTGGGTAGACCAAGATTTGGGTGGGGCTTAGGTTACTTCAACTTCTTTACCACCAAAAAGCAAGCAATAAGAACAAAACTGATGATTTTTGCTATACTCACTGAGAGCCACGGCATTTTGAGAACCATTCAAACGAAAAGAGTCACCTTTGTCTAATGTGTGTGTATATGTATAGACAGATCGATAAGATATATATTTTTTATACGAGGGCTGTCCCACGGAAAACCGGAATTTGGCTGTAATTTGAAAACTATTCAATATTTTCACATTCTGTAAACGCACACTTGTAAAACAATCATTTAGAAATTTCCCGATTGAGCACCATGAGCATCGCACAAACCAAACGAGCACAGCAGTTCTCAAAAGATGGCTACGCACTTGGAAAATTGGTCAAGGGTACAAGTGAGGTCTGTCATTCGGTTTCTGACCGCAAAAGGTCTCAAACCTCTAGAAATACACACTGAAATAAAGTCAGTTTATGGGGAGAAAGTAATGGCAAAGTCACAGGTATATGAGTGATGTAGTAAGTTCAAAGCCGGGCACTCCGATATCAATGACAAAGTTTACCCAGGCTCTTGTTTTTCTGCCAAGACTGAGGACAACAAGAGTCGCGTTAACGAACTTAGGTATTCAAACAGACAGGCGCCTAAAAATTCGCGAAATTTGCGAGTGGCTAAACATTTCAAAGTCGACTTTCTATAGGATAGAGTTTGATGAGCTGCACTGTTGAAAGGTGTCTGCTTGATGGGTTGGGGCCGAAAAAGACCAGCGGGATCATTTTGCAGCATGGCAACACAACGCCACACACTGCAAACGTCACGAAAGACTGGTTCCAAAGGTTCGGCTAGGAATTTCTACTACACCCCCCTCACAGTCCTGACTTGGCCCTGTCAGATTATCACCTTTTTGAACCAATGAAACGCCATATTTCTGGACAGCGATTCACCGACGACGAAGACCTCGTGGTAGCCGTGAACGATTGGTTGAAATCCCTTGAAGAAAGATTCTTCAGGGAGGGTATCTTCTCCCAGATCCAGCGATGGGAAAAATGTGTCCAGCGGGATGGTGATTACATTGAGAAATAAAGCACATGTTGAGGTATGATGTCTTACAGTTTTATTATAATAGGACAAAGATTTTTGCTTTTACGGACCTTTTCCGGTTTTCCGTGGGACAGCCCTCGTAGTTACTGTACAAAGCAATTTATAAACCAGAGTTTCATTAAACTTTTCTCAATGCTTCGGAGTAATGAAACAGAACTATGCCTGCGTCTGGTGTAGAAGTTAGGCACTTCACAGTCACAGGCTGAAGACCCTCTGTAGGGAGGATTTTTATTGAGTGGTGTTTCTGCTGGGATGATGTCTTTCTTTCATCTTCTCGTTCATCTCATGTCCCAGACTCTAGTGTGAAGGCTGCTGTTTACCCAAGATCCTCCAGGCCCCCATACAGTCATAGAGTCATGGGTCTCTCAGCTTAAGGTTGGGTCAATATTTCCTTCTGCTGGGATGATGTCTTTCTTTCATCTTCTCGTTCATCTCATGTCCCAGACTCTAGTGTGAAGGCTGCTGTTTACCCAAGATCCTCCAGGCCCCCATACAGTCATAGAGTCATGGGTCTCTCAGCTTAAGGTTGGGTCAATATTTCCTTCTGCTGGGATGATGTCTTTCTTTCATCTTCTCGTTCATCTCATGTCCCAAACTCTAGTGTGAAGGCTGCTG